TCCACATGCCCCACACATGATGATGAACATTCCGGCCACAAGAATCCTTCCAATGATCACAAGCAGGTGACAAGACACTGCAGTCCGAGATTGGATAGAAAAAATCCAATAGATGCCAAAATAAGCATAGCAACAGTGCCTCACGGAAACCAACAAACTCTATAACTCATTAGAGTTCATCCCAGTAACATTACGCCTATAGCAGTAGCAACAACAGTGATGGAGGCAAATATAGAACAAGCATAATCCAAATATAAGGAACCAAATTCCAGCAATGAAAATCGGGAAAAGGGGGTGCCAGCAACATGGAACTCAATAGCAAAGGGGGTGCCAACAACATGGACACTTGACATCCAAAGGACAAAGAGACAGAAGGGGCAAAGGGATTCAAGGACTTCTAGACGAAGAAGTAGCATCCCAACAGCAATCCAAAAGAGGAAAACTCCAACCAATAGACCATGAGCAAGTAGCCAGTAGCCAAGATCCCTAGCACCTCAAAAGAGACCAAGTAGAAATCTAAATGATCAGATCAGCAATCCATCAACTTTAAGGCAGTTCAAAAAATGACTATGGGAAGGACCATTGTCTTTGGAGCCATAAATTAGGGAGGGCTTTCCCCACCCCTCTGTGCAAATTTCTGCCTAATGTAGTCAACAATGTCTTTGTAAATAGTAGTAACATCCTTAAAAGTGTTTCTAAAAGTTCTCTGGTTTCTCTCCTTCCAAACCTTATAAACAAAAATGGACAACATCAATCTCCCAATCACACTACTCAGCTTTCTCCCCATCATGTTCCTAGCAACCTATTGGACAAAATCTTTCCATGCAATACCAGGCCATTGTACATTACACTTAATTTGTAGTGACATCCACAATCTGCTAGTAAAAGAGCAAGCAAAAAATAAATGATTATGGGATTCCACATCACTATGACAAAAAACACAAGAGGCCCTTTGTAGGATACCATAATCCAAAAGCTTATGTTGTGTTGGTAATCTTTCCTGCACAACAAGCCACAAAATAAAGCTAAATCTTGGCAAACAATCTTGGCCCAGACATGATGATTCCCTTTAACCCTAAAACATTCCCATGCAGACTGAGTGGAAAAAAGATAAGAATTTGAATTGGGTAGCCATAACACATTATCTTTCAGGTTCGAATTTGGTTTCCAACTAAGAGCAATCCCTCTTTGCACATCTAGAAGTTCCTCATTTTCAATATCAAGCCACACCCATTGTGAGTTGTTGAAAATACTGCTAACACGAGCTTTTTTGTCCAATCCAGAGCCATTAATGATCTCCTCACCTTTACTTTGATAAATAGGACCACTTGGATGTCATGGATCCAACCATAAGAAAATGGATCAGCCATCTCCAATCTTATATCTAATTAGGGCTAAACATTGGTCCCTTAATTGAAGAATTTTCCTCCAAGACCAAGATGAGTTTTGAGGGATCCTAATACTCCAAAAGCTTCTTCCCTTCAACAGGTAGGATTTAACCAAAGAGGCCCACATAGAAATCCCTTATGGTTTAATAACATGCCATAAATGTCTTGTCATAGTTGCTTTGTTCCAAGCTTCTAGGCTTTTAACTCCAAGACCCCCTTCTTTCTTTGGGAGGCACACAGTGGACCAGGCCACCTTTGCACCGCTGGATCAAATTTCACTTGTAGACCAGAAAAATCTTTTCAGTAACTGTTCTATAGATTCAACCACACCCTTTAGAAGAATAAATATGGATGCCCAGTAGACCTGAATGGTAAACAGTATTGAATTAATCAGTTGGAGTCTCCCTACATAGGATAGAAACTTGCAAGTCCAAACTCTGATCTTATAAGTGATTTTTTCAATTAGAGTATGACAATCTATAACCCTTAATCTTGTGGTGATAAGAGGTACTCCAAAGTACCTAACTGGCAGCATTCCTTCATCAAACCCCAAACATTGTATATACTCTCTTTGGTTTCATCTTCAACCCCAGAAAAAAAAAATTGACACTTGCTTTCATTAGGCTTTAACCTTGAAAACTCCTCAAAAATTTGAAGTACATTCTTAATAGCTCTCACTGATTCAATTGTACCACTGCTAAAAACCATGATATCATCAGCAAAGCACAAATGTGAAATCCTCTCCTTTTTCCACCTCCAATGGAATTGGAATCTCCTAGTTTGAATGGTTGCTTTCATTAAACCATTAAAAGCTTCCATGACAAGAACAAAGAGATATGGGGACATGGGATCCCTTTGTCTGAGCCCTCTCCTTCCTTGAAAATATCCATTCAGTTCACCATTAATACTTATAGAAAACATTGGAGTAGTAATATAAGCCTCCACCCATTGAATGAGTTGTTGGGGAAATTCCATTTTTTTCATCACTTCCAAAACAAAGTCCCATCTCAAACTATCATAGGTTTTCATCAATTCGATCTTCATAGCACATCTAGGACTCCCCCTCCCAAGGTGATAATTCCTCAAATAGCTCTTGTGACAGCAAAATATTATCAGATATTCTTCTCCCCTTGATAAAAGCAATTTGGGATTTGTCAATTAACTGTGGCAGTGCAAGTTGTATCCTATTAGCAATAATTCTTGAAATAAATTTGTAGAGTGTGTTACAATAGGATATTGGCCTATAGTCAGTAAGGGTGGATGGGTTGGGAACTTTTGGAATGAGAGCAATTATGGTGGAGTTGAGCTCTCTTGACATTCTACCATCTCTGAAGAAAGCAAAAATGGCATCAGTAACCTCTTCACCAACAATACTCCATGATTTTTTGAAAAAGGATGATGTGTAGCCATCTGGGCCTGGAGCTTTTACATCTTAATTGAAAACATGGCTTTTTTAATCTCTTCTCTTGTTACTGCCCGCCCAGTTTGATCAGCCATCTCTCTTGAAACCCTATACTTAATGTAATGTCCAATCCATTGCATTTGGACAGCAGGTTGGATAGGAGGAATTGTGCTAAGATGATTCTTAAAATACTGTATAGTCTTTGCCTTAATTTCAGCAAGGTCAGTGCTCTTAACACCACCTTCATTCTGAATGGAAATGATTCTCCTCATTGCCATCTTTCTATTTTGTGATTTATAGAAGAAACTTGTGTTTTGGTCCCCCAAGTTGAGCCACTGAACACGAGACTTTTGTCTAGCAAAACTCTCTTCAGCTTCTCTTAACCTGATATAGTTCAACAGTTTCTCTCATTCCAATACCCTCAAGCTTTGGTCCAAAGGGTTTCGATCAAGAAAATTTTGAATTTCATCAAGCTGATGTCTCACTTCAATAAATCTGACTAAAATGTCACTGTATTCCTTCTTATTTAGTTCTCTCAACTTAGTCTTCAGATCTTTAAGCTTTTTGCATATTTCAAACAATGGAAAACCCCTATACTATTGCTGCCAAACTCTTGAAACAGTAGGAATGAAGGATTGGTTCTTTGACCAAAAATCAAAAAATTTAGAAGGCTTTTTGCATTTGTTCAAGTCTCTTCCCATTCTTATCAATGCAGGAGAGTGATCGGAAACACCTGGAGTAAGAAACTCTACTTCAGACAATGTAAACTCCTTACTCTAAGTCTCATTTGATAGTACTCTGTCCAATTTTCTAGCTATAACTTCTCCATCATGACTCTTATTGCACCATGTTAGTTGGATTCCAGATTATTTAAGATCATCAATTTCAGCTTTAAACAAAAACTCCTCAATACCCCTATCCTAGATTTGGCACCCTCCAGACTTCTCTACCACTGACCTCACAATGTTGAAATCCCCTGCAAGAACCCAAGGTTTCCCCCTCATTGCATACGCTCTTACATTTAAGTTTGCCCATAGATCTCTCCTCAGCTCTACAACATTTTGAGCATATATGACAGAGAAAAAAATTATAATTTGCCGAGCCAAAATATTCACCCTACAGTGCATCACCTGGTCAGATTGTTCTATCAATTCAACATCCAAAATATTTGGGTTCCAAGACACCTATATTCTCCCCCTAAGGGATGAATCATCATTGTTAAGCATACTCCATCTTGGTAGCATAGATCTAAACACCCTTTCAGAATTTATACTTCTAACTTTCGTTTCCACCAGACAGCACAAATCAACACCATGCATATTCACAGTTCTCCTTACTTCCGCTTGCTTTAGAGGGCTGTTTAACCCCCTAATATTCCAGCAAAGAATGCCTATCATTTAAAACTAGGTTTGGAAAGGGAATCCACTCCATGAAGGATAACTTGGCCAAGGTTCGAGGCTTGTTTTCCTTTGGCTTTCGCCCTCCTCTATTTTTTCCTGGTTGAAGAAGATAATAACTTCTCAACCTCATTAATAGCTCTGATTTTATCAATCATGCCACTCGGCTCAGGAGATTCATAATCAACTCACCTCAACCTCTTCTTCAAACAATTTCAAAAGTGCAAACTGGTTTGGGGATTTAATGGAACTACCCCCAATAGCCCCTGGTAATACAATGCTAATTTGACCTCCTCCTTCTCCTCTAGGATGCTCTTCTCCAACCTTAGCCTTCCCTTTATCACTTTGCGAATGTTGACGACCATCATCTTTTAGGTCTCCATTGATACTCTGCCCTTATCTCTACTGACACATTCTCTTCCTCTCCTTCACCCTCCATTATTAAGTCAAAGGCTTCCACCAAGGATTCTTGTGCATCAACTTCAACACATATTCTTGCAAAATTTGCTCTACTTCCCTCCTCTGTTAGTTTGTCCATATATAGTGGTTTTCCAATGGCGCTTGAAATATAGCTATAGCCACTTGGGTTCCAATATTCATTTGGAATATTAAAGAATTTAACCCACACAGGTATCTTTTCCAATGATTCTTTTGATAGCTTCATCCGGGGTTCCCATTTCCTCAAGATAATGGGTTGTCCTCCTATATGCCAAGGACCTCATGCATTGAAGGCTCTTTTTATGGTGGTGAAGCCTCCATTTCATTCCCATAGTGCCTGTTATACCCATCACGACCTCCTCCTCTAACTGGACCTCAACCGCGGCCACCTCGATTACCACTACCTCCAGGGTAATATTGACTGCTATTGAGGCTCTGTGCTTCCATAAGATGCTTAAACATCTCATTTTCAGCAACAAGTTTCTGCACTCTCTCTTCATTATCACACTCAATGGGATTTCTTGGTAAATTCCTTACTTCAGCATTCGAAAATTCCTTGCTCATGTTGGAATGCTCTGTTTCTTTTGTCTTCGATTGCTCTGTTTCGGGCCTGGAAGGGTTGCTCGCCATGTCTTCAGTAGCCTTGAAAAGTACCTTAATATTTTCTTTCGGCGATTGACCGCTCTTGGAGGTAGAGACAATGGAGGAAATCATAGATTCCTTCCCCAAATCTATAGATCCAAGTCTTAGTGAGGGAAATAAACAAAGGGGGGGACCTGAGAAGAAAAGGGTGATAGAGGGGCTTTAAAAATCCAAACTTGCTGAAAGCATATGNTTAGTTCTCTCAACTTAGTCTTCAGATCTTTAAGCTTTTTGCATATTTCAAACAATGGAAAACCCCTATACTATTGCTGCCAAACTCTTGAAACAGTAGGAATGAAGGATTGGTTCTTTGACCAAAAATCAAAAAATTTAGAAGGCTTTTTGCATTTGTTCAAGTCTCTTCCCATTCTTATCAATGCAGGAGAGTGATCGGAAACACCTGGAGTAAGAAACTCTACTTCAGACAATGTAAACTCCTTACTCTAAGTCTCATTTGATAGTACTCTGTCCAATTTTCTAGCTATAACTTCTCCATCATGACTCTTATTGCACCATGTTAGTTGGATTCCAGATTATTTAAGATCATCAATTTCAGCTTTAAACAAAAACTCCTCAATACCCCTATCCTAGATTTGGCACCCTCCAGACTTCTCTACCACTGACCTCACAATGTTGAAATCCCCTGCAAGAACCCAAGGTTTCCCCCTCATTGCATACGCTCTTACATTTAAGTTTGCCCATAGATCTCTCCTCAGCTCTACAACATTTTGAGCATATATGACAGAGAAAAAAATTATAATTTGCCGAGCCAAAATATTCACCCTACAGTGCATCACCTGGTCAGATTGTTCTATCAATTCAACATCCAAAATATTTGGGTTCCAAGACACCTATATTCTCCCCCTAAGGGATGAATCATCATTGTTAAGCATACTCCATCTTGGTAGCATAGATCTAAACACCCTTTCAGAATTTAAACTTCTAACTTTCGTTTCCACCAGACAGCACAAATCAACACCATGCATATTCACAGTTCTCCTTTCTTCCGCTTGCTTTAGAGGGCTGTTTAACCCCCTAATATTCCAGCAAAGAATGCCTATCATTTAAAACTAGGTTTGGAAATGGAATCCACTCCATGAAGGATAACTTGGCCAAGGTTCGAGGCTTGTTTTCCTTTGGCTTTCGCCCTCCTCTATTTTTTCCTGGTTGAAGAAGATAATAACTTCTCAACCTCATTAATAGCTCTGATTTTATCAATCATGCCACTCGGCTCAGGAGATTCATAATCAACTCACCTCAACCTCTTCTTCAAACAATTTCAAAAGTGCAAACTGGTTTGGGGATTTAATGGAACTACCCCCAATAGCCCCTGGTAATACAATGCTAATTTGACCTCCTCCTTCTCCTCTAGGATGCTCTTCTCCAACCTTAGCCTTCCCTTTATCACTTTGCGAATGTTGACGACCATCATCTTTTAGGTCTCCATTGATACTCTGCCCTTATCTCTACTGACACATTCTCTTCCTCTCCTTCACCCTCCATTATTAAGTCAAAGGCTTCCACCAAGGATTCTTGTGCATCAACTTCAACACATATTCTTGCAAAATTTGCTCTACTTCCCTCCTCTGTTAGTTTGTCCATATATAGTGGTTTTCCAATGGCGCTTGAAATATAGCTATAGCCACTTGGGTTCCAATATTCATTTGGAATATTAAAGAATTTAACCCACACAGGTATCTTTTCCAATGATTCTTTTGATAGCTTCATCCGGGGTTCCCATTTCCTCAAGATAATGGGTTGTCCTCCTATATGCCAAGGACCTCATGCATTGAAGGCTCTTTTTATGGTGGTGAAGCCTCCATTTCATTCCCATAGTGCCTGTTATACCCATCACGACCTCCTCCTCTAACTGGACCTCAACCGCGGCCACCTCGATTACCACTACCTCCAGGGTAATATTGACTGCTATTGAGGCTCTGTGCTTCCATAAGATNGCGGCCACCTCGATTACCACTACCTCCAGGGTAATATTGACTGCTATTGAGGCTCTGTGCTTCCATAAGATGCTTAAACATCTCATTTTCAGCAACAAGTTTCTGCACTCTCTCTTCATTATCACACTCAATGNTTTATCCAAAAGAAAGAGACTTGCTATTACTCAAATTTTGTACATCAGATTGGATATTTCCCTTTACAAACCTTGGTACACAGCTATTTCTTTTTTCCAATTTTAAGGTTAATTACAAATTGCCAAAAAAGCTTGAAGCTCAGTAATCAAAGCCATTATCTGTCCTATGTTGGGCCTGGCTTGCACTTTGCAATCTAAGGCCTATTGTGTTATTGAAAAGGTGATTTGGAAGTCGGTACAATTTTTTAAACTTATTTAGACAAAAATACAGCACAAAAACTTATTTAGGGTAAAGAACATATATTTAAAAAATGACACTAGTGTCATTTGGTAAAGTGCAGATGGGTAGAAACCATTTGAATTTCTACCGAAAATTTTTGCTACAATCAAGTAATGGGAGCTAAAAAATAAGAGCTTTAATTATCTACTCCCTTCTTCTTTGGCAAAAGGGATTTTATGGCAATGAAAATGCCATAACTTTGACTGTTTATCGTCCAAAAAAAGAGAATATGATAGTTGTGTTCATCGTCTCTTACGGTCAAGTAACTGTTCATCGTCGCCTACGGTGTCTAGTAACTGTTCATCGTTGCCTATAGTGTCTAGTAACTGTTCATCTCCGGCCACTTCTTCACCGAAAAATTGCAAGTGACATTCATGTCTTGTTTTTTATTATTCATTAATTTTTTTTTGCACAAAAGTGTGTAATGTGATTTTGAAAAAAAAAATCATAAAACCCTATTTTTCGTGAAATGCTAGTAAAAAATTGCAGGTTNCTAGTAACTGTTCATCTCCGGCCACTTCTTCACCGAAAAATTGCAAGTGACATTCATGTCTCGTTTTTTATTATTCATTAATTTTTTTTTGCACAAAAGTTTGTAATGTGATTTTGAAAAAAAAATCATAAAACCCTATTTTTCGTGAAATGCTAGTAAAAAATTGCAGGTTTGTAATTAACGATTGAGTAACCTAATTACAAAAGTTAAATTATATGCAAATGAAAAAAACACTTTGGAAGAAGAATTTTTTGATTAAAAATANTTTGTAATTAACGATTGAGTAACCTAATTACAAAAGTTAAATTATATGCAAATGAAAAAAACACTTTGGAAGAAGAATTTTTTGATTAAAAATAGTTACGTAATTGTTTTAAGTAACTATTTGCGATCACAAATTAGAAACAGTTAATATTCAAAAATTTAGTGGGTTAAACTGTATTGAATTACTATTTTGTGATTTTAGGTATTCCAATCTTATGTATGTTATTGGTAATTGTATTGAATATCTATTGAGTAGTTGTGTTTAGTATATGTTGCTAAATGGTTGTAACTGTTGAGTATCTATTAAGTCGAATGGTATGTTAAATGTATATATTTATGGTATGAAACTTAGTTATAGCTTACAGTGATTTATAAGCAATACTTGTGTCCCTAAAAATAGTTACTATGTGCAATTGAGTTACAATTGTCACGCTCTAATTTTCATTAAAGCGTGATTTAATAAAAAGAGATATTTACCCCCAAATTCTCTTATTGGTTTAGAATAATAATTGAATGAAAAAAAACATTTCATTTTTATCAAAACATATATATATATATTCAAAAGTTTTGACAGAGTTTCCTTTGAAAATTGGACTTCCAACTATCTAATAAGAGCATCCCTATGAGAGCATAACATAATTTAAACTAACTAAACTTCTATAACATGCCTCCATAAAAAATATAATCCAATTAAATCCAGAGTAGCAACTAGAGGCCCACAAAGTCCTTCCAAACCCGAATACATCCAATACCAATACATATCACAACTTAGTACACAAAGTCATAACTTTACATTACAATATCCAAAATAATAATCCATCTATGGGATGATCAAATGTACACCATAAATGTCTGAAGACAACCTCTTCAAACACAATGTTTCAGTGCTAACATTTCTACATAAGTTCTAAAGGTAAATACAAAAAGGCTCAAAAAGATATTCTTTCTAATCCAAACTGTCATAAGCATTTCATCACCTATGCCCTAGGATGCATGCTAGTCTCTGAAAATATTAGTAAGAGATGAGCAACCACAGCTCAGTAGGATAATTCATTTCCTAAGCATTTACAAACTTTTAAATACCAACATTTCACAANACATTTTATCAAACATGTAGTAGGCTCAAATCTCAAAAGTTGGATTTTCAAAGCAACATAACTATTTCCAAGAGAATAAGTCATATATATTATGTACAAAATCATAACATACTTCAAAACCCCCAAATCGTAAGTTTAATCAAATACCCATAGCTAAAATCAAACTAGAGTTACAAACCCACAACATTAAAATCATTTCCATTTTTAAGAGAATAAGTCATATTATGTACAAAATCATAACATACTTCAAAACCCCCAAATCATAGATTTAATCAAATACTCATAACTAAAATCAAAATAGGGTTTCAAACTCATAACACTAAAATCATTTTTATGCACGTGAGTTCACAATTCATGATATACTTAGCACTCAATCAAGGTTTATAACAAATAGTTTGGCATCAAACACATAGTAAGTTTTAGCTAAAGAAAATACATGAGATGCATAATATAAATCCAAGATAGAGGAAAGTTTCACTTAGAAATCAGGAATTCCAAGCCACGTTTCTAGGATTTTTAATCAAAACNAAATACATGAGATGCATAATATAAATCCAAGATAGAGGAAAGTTTCACTTAGAAATCAGGAATTCCAAGCCACGTTTCTAGGATTTTCAATCAAAACCCAAGCTTTAGAGACCTTCTCTTTCCCTCTTTTCTTTTCCTTTATCTTCTCCTAGGGTTTTAAGAGGTTTTGGGTGAGAGTGGAATGAAAGAATGGTAGAAAAGAGGCTAAAATATGGGTTTTAAACCCAACAGTCCCAAATTTTTACAGTTCATGGGCAAAAAAATATATTTTTCTCTAAAATTATAATTTTGCCACTAAACATTCCAACTTGATCCATATGACTACCGCAAGGTTTTTCTACGTTCCGGATTCATTTTTAATGTTATTTTAACCTAAAAAACATTTAGTCTTATGATTTATTTCAAAAATAAAGTTAATTTACACCCTAAGTACTAAAATTACTATTTTACCCCTCTGACCATTATATGAGCTAAACATCTATTCAAAGTTTTTCAAACCTCTCGGATTCAATGGTAATATTATTTTGACCTAAAAACATTAATATATTTACTTAGTTACTCTTATCAACCTTAAACACCTTCAAAAATTAAACTTGACCCAAAAGTCAATACGTTCGTACTTCAAACTTACATGACTATTCTTTTAACAACGATTCAAAGTTTCTCTCATCATTTTAATTATTTTAAAAATAATAGAAAGTTAATATCATTTATATTTATATATCACACGGGATCTCACAATCCACCCTTGTTAAAATAAGTTTCGTCCCCGAAACTTGTTACTAACCTGCAAGGTCGAAAAGATATGGATATCATGCTTGCATATCAGTCTCCAATTTCCAAGTAACTTCTTTGACGCCATGGTGTTGCCATAACACCCTCATAGGAGGTATAACTTTGTTGCGGAGAACTTGTTCCCTTCTGTCAAGAATTTGCATTGGCTCTTCATTGTAGCTCACGTCCTCTTGTATTTGGATGTCTTGTCAATCAAGAATATGTGATGTGTTGGGCTCACATTTCTGTAGTATGGAAACATGAAACACGTCATGAACTCTCGAAAGTTGAGGTGGTAAAACAAGCTTGTATGCCACCATCCCTACTCGTTTCACTATCTTAAAAGGTTCAATGTACCTTGGAACCAACTTCCATTTTTTTTACCAAAACGAAGTACTCCTTTTCGGGGAAACACCTTCAAGAACACATAGTCACCATTTTTAAACTCCAATGGCCTCCTCCTCCTATCTGCATAACTCTTCTATCGGCTTTGAGCTGTAAGCAACCGTTCCTGAATTAATTGTACCTTTTCAGTATTCTTCCTTACTATCTCTGGACCAAATGAACTATTCTCCTNAACACATAGTCACCATTTTTAAACTCCAATGGCCTCCTCCTCCTATCTGCATAACTCCTCTATCGGCTTTGAGCTGTAAGCAATCGTTCCTGAATTAATTGTACCTTTTCAGTATTCTCCCTTACTATCTCTGGACCAAATGAACTATTCTCCTCCACTTTAGCCCAACACAAGGGCGATCTACAAGGTCTTCCATATAATACTTCATAAGGTGTCATGCCAATGCTAGATTGAAAACTGTTATATGCAAATTCTACCAATGGCAGATGATCACTCCAACTTCCCTTAAAGTACAACACACAAGCTCGTAACATGTCCTCTAAAATTTGTATCNTTGAAAACTGTTATATGCAAATTCTACCAATGGCAGATGATCACTCCAACTTCCCTTGAAGTACAACACACAAGCTCGTAACATGTCCTCCAAAATTTGTATTNCCAATGCTAGATTGAAAACTGTTATATGCAAATTCTACCAATGGCAGATGATCACTCCAACTTCCCTTAAAGTACAACACACAAGCTCGTAACATGTCCTCTAAAATTTGTATCACCCTCTCGGATTGACCATCCGTGTGAGGATGAAAGGTAGTGTTAAAGTGTAACTATGTCCCCATAGCTGGTTGTAGACTTTGCCAAAATTGTGCCACAAAAGNACATGTCCTCCAAAATTTGTATTACCCTCTCGGATTGACCATCCGTGTGAGGATGAAAGGTAGTGTTAAAGTGTAACTATGTCCCCATAGCTGGTTGTAGACTTTGTCAAAATTGTGCCACAAAAGGAGAATCACGATCCGACACAATAGAGAATGGAACTCCATGTAATCTAACAATCTCACGAATATAAATCTTGCTCAAGGACTCTAAAGTTTCAGTAGTCTTCATACTCAAGAAATGAGCAGACTTGGTGAGTCTATCTACAATGACCCATATGGAATT